CCAAAAGATCATCTCAAAAATTATATTTTGTTGCAGGTGACATAGAGAGAGAAGAAAGGCAGCGGTGGAAGGGGTAAAGTTTTTCCTGGAACATCCTGATGACAAATGCTTCTGCCTCTTCTCATGGCGGGACTATAAGAACTCATGCCACCTATAATCTAGCAGGTTCTTTCTTATCTGATTATGAATGCTGGGTAAAGAGGATTTAGGTGCTGGTGTCTAAATGCTAGGCTGTACTGATTAGAGGCCTGATGGAAGGCTTATGCAACGAGGAGACTACACGAGGAGAGAAGGTGCGCTCTGCCCAAATGACAAACTCGCTCCGGCTATGCATCCTGATAACTTCTTCAAATGTAACATGATAACTCCCATAGATTTGAGTTACCATTACTTTCTGTACATGGATGCATTGCTTGAAAAAACAAACAAACTTGGAAGTCAAGGTCGGTATCAATCGGAGAGGCTTTTCACAACATAGGTAAAAAGTAGCTAGAACGCACATATTTCCCCAACAAGCTGAGTTTTTGTCAATAATATGCCAGCACTTATATATTTAAACTTCTGAGAACAGACCACGAGTCAGGCAGAGATGAAAGAATGATTATGAAAGACAGATTAGCGGGTCCACCTGCTGCTTGAATCTGACACAGAGAACGTTTGACTTAATGCTGACGAAAGGCCACGCTCATTTTTCCTTTCCCCATCTCCACTCATCTTTGAGTCAGGCAATATCAGAAACTCCATCGATGTACACACAAGGCCAAATGCTCACTTCAGTGCTATAAAAGCCTGGAAGGAAACAGATGGATGGACGGGAAGGGGCTGTCTGCGCTGATGTGAAACAACGGGCGGCATCAAACGCCGTGGAGTCGTGCCACAACAGTATGCTAATTGAATTTGCTCCTATCACATCCAAAGCTACGCATTAATATTGTCACTTCTGCCGTCTCACATGTCCCGTTCTATATGCAATTCTATAAATGAGCCAACAAAGCCAAACGGGCAGTGTGTACTGTGGATTTAGCGCACCACATTGAGACGGATGATTATGACAACACTGACATTCACACAGTGACATTTAGGATGCGTGTTACAGTAAGGTATTTTGTTACAGCTTCCTTATACGGTGTCATTATCATCATCATCAACAGTGGACTGACTTTGGCTGCTTCCAAGCGTGGGAGGACCAAACAGCACAAGGCTGCGCCCATGCAGTCCCACTGCTTACCATTTCCACTAGCTAGACTAGCTTATTAGATAAAGGGGAGAGTAATGTTGCACATCCACATTAGGGGCAAGCATAGGGCTGGACATGGCCTGTGTGTGTGTGTGTGTGTGTGTGTGGGTGGCTGGCTGGCTGGCTGGGTAGGGAGGGTGGGGGAACAGAAAGAAACACTGATCTCTTTAAAATGCTCTGAATCCTCTGCTATTATTTTTCCGGGGCTGCCCATATAGACTTTCTCTTTTAGAGTCACTGGTGTATTAAAGCTCTAATACTGTGCATTACATTATTAATATTCTAAAAGGTTTAACTGCAAGCACTGCATGAAACAAATCAAGATTAAGAAAAGATGCTGCTCTTGCATACTGCACTATTAAAACTGAGCACTGTATGCACCCATGTCACGACTAATAACAATAATTTTTAATACTGACTAAACCGCTAAGATCTGTAGCAACTGTTCGTTAACATCGTGATACTTATTACACGATTTGGTTTGGTTTTTTTTTTTTTGCATACCGTTGTGTTTATTTGAAGGCAGAAACAAATGCATTGGGGCCATCTAATCACATTTTCCATCTCACTGACAAAAAACACTTCAAATGGAAAAACACAGGCAGGTTACAAACTGCATGCACAAGTTACATTTGCCATCTTGGCATCATGACTGTTAAAGTGCATTTACACAGAGAGACATCAAGGCAAAAATAAATTCATATTTCCCAAAGCAATCCAGCCATTTTAATACGACTTCCTTGTGCAAGCTAGTGTTAAGAATATTTGCTGTAGAACTATACCCATGACTCATTATAAACAAAAAAGGTCGGGGCAGCACTAAGTCCTTCTGGCTCAATATCAAGGATGACACGTTCTACCGGATTACAAGAAATTATAGCCTCAAGGAGGGAAAAGATGCAAACACCATCTTAGGTTTTATTTTTCAGAGCACAACTGCCACTAAATTATTATATACAGTATCTAATTGACAAGTAGAGATAATATAAAAAATGTATATACGTGTGTGTTTGTGTTTGTATTTACAAAGACAGTGCAGTGACAGCATTTTATGTAAGAGGTGGAAACTCTATTATTTGCATCTATACTGATTTACTAAACAATATTAACATTTACAAACAGGTTCTTTTAATTTTTTGCGCTTGATATTAAAATGCACCGACTGCACCTCTGTTTAGAAAACAGCGCAACTTTTTGTAACTCCCCATAAAGCTAAACACAACTACAAGCGCTCACACACCGTTTACGAAATCTGTCCCTTACATGTGTGATTTAATTCAACTCGCACTACAGTGCACGAGCCTGGAAGATCTTTTCTTCTACATGAAATTCTCGCACGCCAAACACCCGACAGTGCACTCCCGTCCCACCCACCCACGCGAGAGGGCACTAAACCAAAAGTCACAGCAACATTAAGAAGCCACCGCACTGCCGAGTGTTCTCTTTCTTTGGACCATTCATAATTCACTGAGAAAGATTTGCAAAGATCCAGCTCAGCATCCTGAGGCGTAACTTACATGACTTCATCTCTTACATCACTCTCTCTCTCTCAGGGCTTTCCTTTGCCACTATCTTGTCCACCGCAGCTCTCCCTTCACTTGTGGCTCTCTCTAAGCACCTTTTTTTTCTGTTTTGGTGCAGTGTGTGCTAGGCTTCTGCCTTTTCCCTTCCTCTGCCAGTGCTCCCAAAGCATGAATGAAATCCTGAAAGAATGAAATCCTAAATTGATGGACCCTTCTGAAAAGGTCGGCCCTCTTATGCCTTACCTTTATTTAAGGGCAGAGCGGGCCAGCAGTAGCATTAAGTGTCAGACTGGGTTCCTCGTAAATCTCATAAAGCCTGCTTTACAGAAAAACAAAGAAAGTGAAGGGAAGGTGTATATTCTATGCCATAAGACTCTGTGATTGCATTTGACAAAGGGCTCATATTGCTTTGAATAAAAGCACATTGCTGTGTACCAGGCTTGTAATGGCATTTCCCTGGTAAAGGGCTTTCAAGGCACGTACAATATGTGCCCCATAAAAGGCTTCCCTGACCTCAGGGAGCTGCCATCTGACAGTCCAGCAGCCCTGGCAGGTTATTTCCAAATGTACTTTCAACTGCAGATAACCTTAGTGAAATCACAAAGCCGAGGCATTAGAGTCACATTCAAGCTCGTCTTGCAAAGCAGTCTGCAGAACGTCAGTGCCATTTGAATTAGGGTGGAATTTCCCTTTCAGGTTTCACAGGCTTTCCCCGTGCAATAGTGTACAGGTCAGCAATACGTAGACGTGTCTGGAGACTAAGGGACTATACTTGGACTTATCAGTTTAAAATCCACACACATATCAAGTTACTACACTGCTATCACCAAGGTTTGCCTTAAATTAAATATTGCCAGCTCTTTAATTAATTTAGGTGATATAAAGCTTCCCCCGATGAGGATGAAATCAATCATCGAGGTGAGGCGGGGTCCTCGTCAGTCACATATCACTAGTTGATGTGTGGGTAAACAAGCTATATGGATATAATACAGGAAGGCAGGAGAAAAATAAAACATCTATAGCAGCCTGTAAAATGAGCTGAACTTTATGCATTGAGAGCCATTACCATTTTCTGCCATTTCAAAGCTGAATATTGCACCATAATTTTAGCACCGGGGGTCTAAAATTGAATCGAGCACGAATTCCAAACTGTCCCAGTCGAAGTGAAACAGCTTTTGCTTTAATGGAAAAGGGCTCAGAACAATGCATCATCCAACGTGCACTGTACAGTACATCCGACGGGGATGATGTTTCTTGGGTCACGCACGCAGGTCCCTGTGTTTATGATCCTCTGACGTGGAATATAATCCCGATGAGCCCTGCCCCGCTTGCACTGCATGATGATGGGATCAGGATACTAAATTACCAGTGATTGGATTTCATCAAGGCTGACCATCCTAATTGAGGACTGAGTGAGGGTGGAATGAGAAGGTGGAGGAGGAGGAGATGTCATCGTTTTACAAGGAGCAGCCATGACAACATGGCAAGACAGTCACTTGATGTCTGTAGTATTTATCATGTTGATTCGGGGCATGAATGAACACGGGGCTGTATGCGACTGATGCAGCATTTTTCTAAACATGTGGAAAGGTGGGTAGCAGCTGCACCGATGACTACCTCAGCCCTCAGTCACACCAAATAAAGATGCCTTTATTTATATACAAGTATTTATAAAACAGGGCTATAGAAACTGTATTTATCGATACGTATGCAAGCACCTTATGACATTTTCCTGACTCACAGTCGGACTGAGAAAGAAGTACATCTAATCAGTAAGACTTACGCATAATAGAGCCACATGAGAATATATACTTGTACCGCTCTGTCCAAGAAATGTACCGTTTTACAAGCCATGAACAGATGTGGTCTATTTTATCCAGGCAAAGAAAGCCAGACCAGAAGCTGACACTCCTACCGATTATTTCATCAAAGCAAATGAAGTCAAACTCTTTCTAGTTCAGTGATTCCCACTCATACTAGAACTGTGCGTTTTTACTTAAGGATGATTTTTCATCCCTATATTCTGCTTTTCCTCCATCCGTACAAATTGTTATCCAAAGACAGCAGCTTTCACTACATTTCAAACCGATGAACTCATCAGTATTTTTGTTTTTACAGGATAGATCTGGCCTTTGATAACCATGTCTGCAATGTGTTGAGATCCAGGGAGCATGTTCAGCTTTGAATGTGAACATGAAATGTGAGACGGTGTGATCGCACTTCCAGTTTGGGTTTCCTACCTTGGCAGCCACTGAGGAGTTGGGTTTCTCCAGGAGATCCCACAGTTTCTTCCTCTTGTCCGGGCAGCAGGTGTTATCAAACTCTCCCTCTCCCTCCCTCTCCCTCATTGTCTCTGCCTCCCTCCGCAGTTCCTCATTCATCTGCTCTTTTTTCTGGTGGTAACGGGCCTGGCAGCAAGACTCCAGGTAGATCTCATCAATACCCCAGTAGTCTAACTCCTGGCCAAACGACAGGGCGCACATCTCCTCCATCATGTGCAACTTGCCTGTGCGGTAAAAGTTCAAAATGGAGGTGAAGGCCCCCGGGTGCCGATCGAAGAAGTATTCGTTCTCGTTCAGGCTGTAGTCGTCACAGATTTCCATCAGGGACTCGTGGCTGTTGCACTCTCGAAGCTTGCCAAGCCGGGTCCTGGGTAGCCGATCCAGGGTCCGCCACAGGACTTCATGATTCAGACCCCCGACATTAAGGCGGACTCTGCGGGAGCGGGCTTTGGTGCGGATTATGTCGATGGGCTCAGGGGGAAGCGAGGGAGCAGTTCGGATGTTGATGGGCTTAACTCCGATTGGTCCGAGTTTCTCAGCCATGGTGATGGAAAAGGAGACTTCTGGGAAGATGTTAAACTGACCTCCTCACCCCCCCGAAATATGGGAAAATAATTTAAAGCTCTTATGTCGGTTATGTTGGCTCGTCTTTAGGCAAGTCCCTCCATGGCTGAGAAAACAAAAGAGAGAGGGTGTGAGATGAGTGAGTGACTGATGGCACATTAGTTAAATCAATTGCAGCATCAAAAGAGACACATTTCACCTCCAAAATTAGAAAACAAATGCGATCTCTTCAGTTGGGAACAGTCACCTGTTACTTCATATTGTCAAAAAATAGCATCAGCCGTGCAGCGTTATTGATCCCACATTTCTGTGAAGGTGTTAGGCAGAATCAATGATTTTGTCAATATGGCTGCTTTGCTTTGCATTCCACTCCAGCAGCGCTGTAGTGAGGAAATGAACTCCTGCTACTTTCTGTGGCACCCCAAATGGGTCATGTGCCATTATTGTTTAGATGCACCAATCTGGAGGCATGTGAGGCAACAATTTTTAACTTGTCATTATCATATATCATTAGAGTCATATTTTTTCAGTAAAATTTAACTCCCTGCACATAAACAAAAAGCTACTAAGGAAAATTATTTTGACTGGGATGTATATATATATATATGTATAAAATTCAATATTTTATAATTAAAAGTTGTAAATATATCCCTTTTACTAATTAGCCGCACAAGGGTTTAAAAAATAAATTAAAAACATAAAAAATAATGAGAAATAAGTCTATGTAGCAGGGAATGATGGGAGTACTCCTGGATGCAACAGTTTTTAGTTACATCCCCAACTGCCGTATTATCTGTATCACGAATTTGCCACTAGGAAGCCAATTTTAAGATCTACATGGATGTGTATAAGAGGGGCATGCACAGCGAAATCGCGCGGATAATATAACTGTAGTATAATCGCATACCTGTTACACTGCTGTTTTTTCTTATCTGTGTTCAGTCCACCACCTACCATCAATCTAAACCAGTCTAACAATCCCTGCTGCTCTGGTAGCGCACATTCGTTTTCGACTCACTTCAAAGTAGAGTTTAAAAAACAAAAACAAAAGAAAAACAGCAGAATATATGTTGTAAAAATGAGTCTCACCTTGCCTTGACAAACCACCTTTTGCATGCAAACTCCTCTTGTTCCTGAGGGAGCAGAGGACGAAAAGGGAGTCGGGATCTCCCCTTCAGTCAAGCGGCTATTGCTGTAGGAAGCACTCCGCCGCGCAGAGAACGCGCGCCCCACATTTTGTGTGAAAATGAGTCGAAAAGAGAAGAAAAAAGCGTCAACGTCTTCCTCTGAAAATGTTCATCGGGAGATCGGACAGTGTCGTTTCGCCATGGGAACGCCGAGGAAATGAGTCCTGCGACTTCATCCAAAAGCTTGAAGACAGGGGCTCTGAATCACTGTAACTGCAGACGTAGAGCGCGTAAAAGGCAACGAGAAGGAACGGGATAAGCGAACTGCGGAGTGTCCCGCTGTATACTACATAAGGAGGAGCAGAGGGGCGCACATGGGCTGCACCACATCCTAGAGGTGAAACCAAATCACAAGCGGGCGGAATATTATTTTTCTGAAATAGAACAAAATGTTCAGTAAGTGTTCGATTTCTAATCACGGAGAGGAGAGATTTTTAAAGTTACTGAGCGAAATCCTGGATCATATTATCCTACAAGAGCAGTCACGCACGGCAAATCAAAAGCAAAATCTTTACAATACGTCTATAGAGTATATAATACACCACTGGCCTATCGTTGCTGTGCGTAAAGTGTTGGTAGCAAAGGATAGGTGCACTCCTTGCCGTAGGTGTGACTGTAAATATTGCGCTGTATTTCCTGTTTCGGTGGAGATTTGAAGTTGGATTATCTGCTGTGAATAATCTTCAACAAAATTTCTCAGGAGAGCAGTTTTTACATTTTACCAAACTACTTTAGGTCACTCACACGCTAGCATGGCGGCCACCTATTGTAAGGACAACAGCTAAAATCTCACATGTATTTGGCATTATACACCAGATTGCTCCCGTTTCTTCATCTCTCGCTCACTCAGTGCACAGGAATATTGTCCAGTGCTGCGGTGATATTTTCTTATAGAGTCTACTCATGTGTCAACTGAACATTTCCCCCTTAGCTAAGCACTTTTCCAGAAATTTGATTATACGATGCATATGTGTAATCAATTTCTCTGCCATGTTCTTTCCTTCGAGTGACAAATGATCAATACTGCTGCACTGACTAAAGAGAGCCTGGTGTGCATGTAGCCTATACTATTTCTTAACTGTGTGGGCACAATGTTTGAAGGTCAGTATTGTTTTGGTGGTCTTCACAGATTTTGTACATTCCCACAGCACACGCATGGCAATCACGTATCACCCCGATTAGTTGTTTGAATGTGACCTCAGCAATCTGGCGGTCTAGTGCATAGACTAAGCTGCATTTGCTTTGGGACTGTTTTTTTAAAAGATGGCAAGAGGATTGCAGGATTTGTGCGATTCTACAAATGCAAAGAATCTATTATTTTACACCCCAAAAAAAATGTTTACCACTTAATCAGGTAATGATTTAAAGATGTATTCATTTAACCCCTTGTTATCAGGGGTGTATTAATATGACAGGCCTCAGGTCTGCTGCACTGAAGCATGACTATGACCCCTAAGTGACAGATGTAAAATATTCTGCTGTTGACAAGAAAACTGCTGATGACAAAGGTTGTTAATGAGGGTACCGAATAATGATTAAGAGTAATCGACTGTGTCCCCTTTCATTAATTATTGCGAAACTGGCAGCCAATCAGTTATCCCACGTGAGGTAGCGCAACAGGGCAACATTGTGCAGCTTCTACAGCAGTGATTTGTGTTGCGTGCAGTAATGTGTACTTGCTGTAGATGCTTCCAGCCCTGTGCTAACACCACCTGCATGCGCGGGTACTCCAGGGAGTTGAAGGCAGCCTGCATCCATCCCACCATGTGGGTGGAATAATTCTAGTTACCAGCTTGATATCTATAATTACCAACTTTCCAACAGGTTACAAAGACTATAAAATGTTTGTTTTCTTTGGACAGTTTTCTTCCTCTCATTCCTGTGTACTATGTGGGCATTTGTGCTTGTGTGGGCTGTTGCCATAGCAACCCAAATTGTAGCATCATGCTGAAGAAACACTTTGGGCCACAGAGCCAGATAGGCTTGGATATTTAGATAACCAGCATTGCTGCTTTGTTACCGCTGAATGATTGAATCACTTGTTTGGCCAATTAACCTTGGGCGTCTGTAGTCGTCAGATTTCCTCGCACAGTTTGAGCGTGATAGCGGGCTCATGGAAGAATTCAAAAGAAAGTACTTGGCCTCCTTCCCCCCTACCTGCTCTCTCTGTAACATTCTTATCAATCTCCGACCAAAGAGAAGTTGACTGACTGCACCGGCTGTCTCATCCATGAGCTGTCACTGCCTGCTGTATTTTCCCTTTTCAGTTTGTCATAAAATGTGTCCACTCCATCATCCAAACAACACCGTGGACACACTTGCACCCCACAGCTCCTGCCTCTGACGCTGTCAGCACATAAGAGAGACACATCATCGCCCGTTCGTCACACACTCATTAGACAGATACACCGAGGAGCACCACACCAATGATTTTTCAGCTTCCTTTTTACTGTACTGGGTTCTGAAAGTGTGAGTGTTTCACATAAGAAGGAAGCACATGGGCTGATCTTAAAAAAGAAAATGTTAAATAGGCGCGTGTGTGTGTGTGCAAGGTGAAAGAGAGAGGAAATATGGATGCTGTAATTTACCGTCAGCTTCTGCAGGAGTGGGAGAGCAAAAGTCAAATCCACTTAAATTGCAATAATAAGCATTCAATCAGTTTGGAACACCTTGCTATTATAGGAAGCTGTCATGAATTTGAATATTTGCGATAGAAAAAACCCCACATGGGTGGATAAGGTTAAAAAAAATCTGCTTTCTCTTTTTTACTGCTTCTTGATCCTTGCTTTGACAGCTTGAATGTAATGTAATTTTCCATTTTTGTCATTTATTATTCTGCAAAGTTCAAAGTTGAACTTTAAGAAAGGTTTTTGGATGGCTCGATGTGAGGCTGCAAAAATGTGAGCCCGGAGACTTTGTAAGCATGCCGTGACACAGTGCTCAAATGTGCTTGTGCGTGTGGGTGCGACAGCGTCTGGTGCATGCTTAGTTTTATTTGTGTGTGTGTGTGTGTGTTTGTCAATAAGAGGGAGGAAACACACCATAGCAGCAGCCTGTTTATTCTCTTTTTCTATTTTTAGCTTCTGGTCATGTCAAGGTCCACACAAGCACCCACCCACAGTGGGCAGCAGTGGCCTTCAGTGTAACGGTCAGCTGCAGACTGGAATCATAAATCTATGTCATGTCTTCATTCATTCCACAAAACACACCTGTTCACCTCTGATGCTGCCAGCATCACCTAATGTGTCAAAAATACACACAACACAATGAACACGCTTTGGTATTTGGTTGTACAAACTGCATGTATGCTATGTAGGCTTGCCCTCAGGGGTTAGCGGTCTAAGTATGTACCAACTACTAAGTCCTGGTTCAAATCCAACCAAGGACTTGTGCAATATGTCATCTCCCTCTCCATCTCCCCATGTTTATTGTCACTTCTCACTGCCATCAATCAAAATAAAGAAACAATACCCTAAAAAAAATGCATTTATCAAAGTGAATGTCCATGGTGCTCTGGTCTCAGCTTTCTCTCTGGAGCCGATGTTAGCTGTGGACAAACAAACATGATTGATCACCCCTCTGTGATGCTGGTTATGTTTGCATAATACATCCAGGGGCATGGATCACTAATTGACTGGGTGTTGTTTTCTTTCTATATTATTATTGGTATCTCTGCAGCAACTGCCTGTCAATTGCTCTTAAAAAAATCGTCGTGTCCAGCACAGCACAGCAGAGGATACACGCTGCCACATAGACACATAGATCCTAGAGTCTTGTTACAGCTCAGCATCACTGTTTTCCCAACACAGAATGCCACATCCGGTGCAGCACAGCTTCTCCAAATTTCAGGACTTTGCACCACACTCATCTGCATTCATCGGTGTGAATAACACTGCCTTGCAGAGCAGACAAGATGCTCAGTGTCCAACCTTAACCCAAAGTGCTTGTGGCAGCAGGATAATGTGAATATAATGTACTTGGTATAATTGCTGCAAAAACACCCACTCTGGCAATTTGACCTGCTACTACTGTCAAGAGACAGCTTATAAGGGTAAGCATTTTTTTTTTACAATCAGGGCAGGTGTGAAAGCACTGATCACTGCGTGTTGTACGTTTTAGTGAAAGACAGGAAGGAGAGACCTTGGAATGAATAGCAATGAAGTGGTGTGGCTGCCAGAGACATTAAGCTCCGATGGACAATTCAGCATGTTCAGTCTGCACCCGAGCTCCATGTGTCGCTTAACTATCGACTATCGGCATAATGCTCTGTCACAGCCTTTATAATATCATGTAAAAAGAACATTAGGAAAACTGCTTTTATTTTTACTTGCAATGCAAGACACTCACCAGCCACTTAATTAGGTACTGTACACTGCAAATATCTATCATGGCAGCTACTCAGTCCTTTAGGCACGTAGAAATGGTGAAGACACGTTCAAACCGAGCATCAGAATGGGGAAGAAAGGGGATTTCAGTGACCTTGAACACGGCATGGTTGTTGGTGTGTGAAGCTGGTTTGAGTATTTCTGAAACTACTGAACTCTACTGGGATTTTCCTGAAGAAACCATCACTTGAGAATGCTCTGAAGAAGAGAAAATATTTGTCTCGTTGATGCTGGATGACAGAGGAGAATGGTCAGACTGCTGTGAGCTGGTGGGAAGGCAACAGTAACTCAAGCAATGGTTGCAACTAAGTTATGCAGAAGAGCATCTCTAGATGCACAATATGTTGAGCCTTGGAGTAGATGGGCTACAGCATCAAAAGAGCACACCGGGTGGCACTCCTGTCATCTAAGAACAGCGAACTGAGGCTACAGTTCACACAAGCTCATGAAAACTGGACATTAAAAAAAAGGGAAAACACTGTCTGGTCTCATGAGTATTGATTTCTACTATTTTGATTATAGGGTCAGAATCTGGTGTAACCAACATGAAAACATGAATCCATCCTGGCTTTTATCAATGATTCAGGCCGCTGGTGATGTAATGGGGTGGGGGATATTTTCTTAGCACGTTTTGGGC